GAGGTGACCGTCACGGAGGACAAGATCAACGCCCTCATTAAAGCAGCCGGAGTGAACGTCGAGCCTTTCTGGCCGGGATTGTTTGCAAAGGCTCTGGCTAACGTCAGCATCGGGAGCCTCATTTGCAACGTGGGGGCCGGTGGGCCCGCCCCCGCCGCCGGGGCTGCCTCCGCAGGAGACCCCGCGCCCGCCGCCGCCGCCGCCGCCCCGGCTGAGGAGAAGAAAGTGGAAGCGAAGAAGGAAGAGTCCGAGGAGTCTGATGACGACATGGGCTTTGGTCTTTTTGACTAGACCTCTGTAGGAACGCATCCAATAAAAAGCTGAGCTCTTAAAAAACAAACAAACAAAAAAACAAAAAATAAAACCCCAGGCTTTATTTCACCTTCATTTTGAAAGATTTTAGATGGAAATAGAATTATAGATTGACAGTCCCCTTTCAGCTTTTTTCCTTCCAGTTTTATTGAGATATAATTGACATACAGCACTAATAAGTGTATGGTGTCAGCATAATGATTTGACTTCCATACATCAGGAAATGATTATCACAATAAGGTTAATGAAATTCATCATCTCATATAGATACGAGAGTAAAGAAATAGGAAAAAAATTGTTTCTGTTAATAAGAACTCTTAGGATTTACTCTCTTAACAACTTTCATATATAATTATACAGCAGTATTAATTATACTTATGTTGTACATTACATCCCTAGTACTTATTTATCTTATAACTGGAAGTTTGTACTTTTTAACCACCTTCTTCCAGACTCCCTTCAACCTCATGCCTATGTTAGCTATACATCTGATCTCTTTATGAGTTTGTTTTTGAAGTATGAATGTCCTACATCACTATGTTAGTTCCTGTTACACAACATGACTTGGTGTTTTTATACATTTCAAAATGATCACTACAATAAGTCTAGTTATCATACGTTACCACAGAAAGTTATTACATAGTTATGTCCTATATTCTCCACTCTGTACATAGCAATCATCTCTCTTTCCCTCTACCTCTCGCTTCTTTCTTTTGAAAAAATGTTTCTTATAATTTCAAAAGTAGTACTGTAATTTGTCATTTTAGGAGATGGTGGTGTTCAAAGATGTAGCTATAGATGTTTCTCAGGAGGAATGGGATTGCCTGAACCCTGTGCAGAAGACTTTATAAAAGATGTGATGTTGGAGAACTATAGGAACTTGGTTTCACTGGGTAAAGTTATCTGCCTCTAACAACTCAGAATCTGTTTCTTGGAATTTCTGCTTTCTCCACTATGAATTTTAGGTCTACCTTTCAAACAACTAGATGAATTTTCTCTTTGTGTAGAAATGAGCACAGCTAGATGGAGGTGCACCTTCATTGTCTCCATCCTCACACCTTTCTCTTATCCTTTCTTATAACTGACTTTCTTTCTTGATGATTAAGGAGCAGTATTGGAATCCTGTACCATTAAAGCTTAACGTGGTCAAAGAAGCCAGGCTTTGTCTTTTGTTTCGCTTGCACTGTACTAAACATGCAGGTTGTACTAGCATAGATAAAACTAAACACACAGGTCCTGGGGTGAAGCTTTTTAGCCTTCTCAATTAACATAGTAATGGAGTGGATTAAGAAATGTCATCTGCTTTACATGTAGCCTTCATGGATCAAAAAATAGAATCCTGTTCCTTGTCTTCTATAGAGACTTTTACTCATTATTTCTTAAAGAAAAAAACAAAAAACTCACAAGTGAGGTACAAGCATACCTCTGAGACATGGGTTTGTTTCCAGACCACCGCAATAAAGCAGACAAGTTTTTTGGTTTCCCAGTGCATATAAAAGTTATGTTTACACTATACTGTAGTCTATTAAGTGTATAATAACATACGCAAAAATGCAC